TATGAACCGACCAGCACACAGAATATTAAAAACATTAGGAGTCAGCTGTTCTTAAGACACCAGCGCAATAACACTCTCAGCAAAATATCGTCTAATTATCGTTACCGATAACATCCCAGAAAATATCGAGATATTATTTTTTTGTCGATATCGCACAGCCCTAGCCAGAACAGCACATGTACTAGTAATGAAGCATAGTAAATATGAACATGAGAGTTTATTTACACAGTTGCGATCTGCTTTTGTTTAGCTGACGCAGAGATTGAGATTCGGATCCGACTGGACATTTAAACGCAGCACGAGACGGAAATGATGATTGCTCGGTTCTTACCGGGTTCCCCGGGCCGCGGGTCGGTTCTGCAGAGCTGAACGGAGCCCAGGATCAGGGTCAGGATCAGGCGCACCGCGGTCATCTCGCTCGGGCTCCGGGTCGGTTCGGTTCGGCGTCGCTCCAGCGCACAACTCTCCCGAAGTTCGCAGGAATTCTACCGTCTGCTTGAAGTACCCGCCTCGTTTCCGCTCGGTCAGCCAATGACCGCGTGGCAGAGGGTGACGGACAGGGACGCAGCCAATAGGAAGAGCGAACGCGACGGCGTTCGACCAATCAGAGTTAGGAACGCAATTCCTCCGCCCTTGGGCTACAGAAAGCGTGATTGAGGAAGGAGTGCCACGTTTTAGGAATAACTAAACGGGTGTGTGTATATAAGGTTTCTAAAAACATATACAGTATGTACATGCTATATACCGGTCATAAACATGACTCTCTCTCTATATGATTTGTTCTTATATTTTATTATTTATACGTTTTAAAAATATAAACATGCATTTGATTTTTAAAAATAAAAATAAAAAAGTAAATTCATGAAGTATAGGAATGATTTAGTGAGTAACCCAAGCAGCTGGGTGAGTTTAACCAGACATGTCTCTGAGCACTGTACAGTACAGACTCGGTGAAGCCTTTTACAGCCAAACCCTTCCTTCTCATTTCTAATGCTATCTTCTGTTAAAAATACTTTAAAATGTGCTGAAAATGTGCTCTCCCTCAGGCCATTCGAGATATACTTGTAATGCTTTTAAAGAAGTGTCTTCTGCTCATCAAGACTGCATTTATTTGATCAGAAATACGGATAAAACAGTAATCTTGTGAAGTATTATTGCATTTTAGAATAATGGTTTTCTATTTTTATATACTTTAAACTGTAATATATGTTTGAACAGCAGTGTAGATGAGTTTGTTTGTTCATGGGAACGGAAATGTTACTGCCTCTGCAGTGAATGGGTGCCGTCAGAATGAGATTCTAAACAGCTGATAAAAACATCATCTCCTGTTGTCTCTCATATTTGAGTTAAAAGTGTCTTAATGCTGGATGTGTTTCAGCTTTTGTCTTCTCCAGATGTTCACTGTGGAGTGGAGGGTGGTGGATTATTGTGATGTTTTTATCTGGCTCTTTTTCTGACGGCACCCATTCACTGCAGAGCATCCATTGCTGAGACACTGGTTGTATCTATTTTCACTGTATGTCTCATATTCTGACATACAATGAAAAAGATAATTCAGAGAAACATAAAAACAGTTGGCATCATGAGTTTAATGCTGAACACAAGAAAAATCCCCCAACTAAACACACACACACACACACACACACACACACACACACACTGTGTTCGCAGCTCATGTTTACTGCACACAAAGTAAATATTCTTCAATTCAAACACAAGCTCAAAGTACAGATTCACACACACACACACACACACACACACACACACACACACACACACACACACTCTCTCTCTCACACACACACACACGCACACACACACACACACACACACACACGCGCACACAC